TAATTTTGCTTATTTGTAGATCTCCTGGTGTTGAGGTCATGTTTGTGTGATAGGTAGCGTATGGTGGTTTCCATCGTTTCATCAAACTTAGCATGGCTAAGCACAAATCGAAGCACTTTTCTTCCCATTGTCAACGGCTTCCTTGCCTTTATTTCGATGACTTTTGCGCGTTGTTCCTCGTGGTCGTAAATGTATGCATGTGCTAATCATAAGACATCCGCAAAAATAAACGGTTCTGTAGAAATAGATAAAGGAGATTATCGGTATTTTATGTTGCTCATCTTCAACACTCATCCGTTGGGAATACACCTGCTGCATAGTCGCCTCCGGCGTCTTCCATTCGCAAAATTCGGGCTGAATTAAGTCACCAGTGCAGTGGTCCAGTTGGATGTCAGTTGGGCCGGCGACCGTCCGCGGTTTCCACGTACGACAGCCGGCGGCCGAACTCAACCGGGAAGCTTAATAATAGGTCTGGTACCAGCATGAGGGGATGGCTGCAGTCGAGGGAAAATATTGGCGGGGAGACTTTTGTGCTTGGGACGAGCATACTACGTTCATGGCTTTCTGTAGGTGTGTTGTCGAGGTCATATAAATATGACTTTCTGGGCCTAAATTTAGGCCCAGAAAGCACAAAAAGTGAGAAATACACGCCTGTTCCATGCATTGACGACCATCCCATTGACACGGCGCTGCAGCGTGCCGAAAATATGCTCGCCGGGGATATATTTCACATTGGCTGAGCTTCGGCCCGACCCAGGCTCTGTTTACGCTTATGCGGAACCTTGACCGATGTCGACACAATTATTTGTGCGCGCCGGTTCCATCACAGTGGCGGCGGCGGCGTTTGCTCTACCATCAGAATGGGTGGGAATAGTCAGCGATGCACATTTCAAACTCAATGAGGCACTGGGTGTTCTGTCTCTCACAGGATCTGAATATGACCAAGAAGGTCTAGGTTAATCCCTTCCCTCTGCTTCGTCCACCGAATCTGCAGATGACCCAGAAGATCTCTAGGTTCACCGCTTCCCTCTGTGTGCCCGCAGGATCTGTATATGACCAAGAAGATCTCTCTGACGGAGTCGCTGTGCGGATTCCAAATCCCGATCAAGCACCTGGACGACCGAACTGTGGTGATCTCCTCAGAGCCGGGAACAGTGCTGGCGCCAGGTGAGAGCTGAGGGGATGACCCCAGAGGGAACAGTGCTGGCGCCAGGTGAGAGCTGAGGGGACGACCCCAGAGGGCACAGTGAGAGCTGAGGAGGCGACCCCAAAGGGCACAGTGCCGTCGCCAGCCTCACCTGAGGTCTCTTCTGAGGTGAGACCCGAGGTTGGGTTGAGAGAGTATGGTGAGTGCAGTCGGGGACTGGCCCGGAGAAGGCAGTGCTGGCCCCAGGTAAGAACGGAGAGCGGCCTTGGGGGTACGGTGAATGCTGAGGAGCGGCCCCAGAGGACACAGTGAGTTATGGGATACCCGATAGGCACGAGTGACGGTTTGTAGGCAGGCTGAGGGCTGGAGATTCGTAGATTGGCACGGGTTCCATATACGATAGACATGTTGTGGACAGCATCGTTAAATTCCGATCAGCATGATGGGCGCTTCATCTGGTTACTTCTGCCGTTACCCATACATATTTACTTCATTTTAGTGTCAATATAGATAGCATGAGTGGTAGCGACGTAAAAAGCGCGTAGTGCTTAAGTAAGCTTAACTTTTCAGGTCAAAACTGCGCTGCCCAGTTCTCTATTTTTTTGCCCGAGTGCCTCCGCTTATCTCCGAGTATGGTGTCCGTCCCCACCGCGCGGAGTGCTGCCCGCTCCTCTGACCGGTCGCGGCGCGTCGCCAGGCACCCGCCGCGGAGTGCTGCCTGTGTCTCTGACCGGTCACTGTGCCCCCAGGCACCCGCCGCGGTGTGCGCGGAGAGGGCTTCCCCATCCACCGCTCGCCGTTCGACAAGGGCAACCTGTACGTGCGCTTCGACGTCGACTTCCCGGAGAACCAGTGGGCGCCCGAGTCGGTGTACCCCAAGCTGGAGCCGCTGCTGCCGCCCCGGCCGGCCTTCACCAAGCCGAGCGGCGCGCACGTCGAGGACGTCCATCTGGACGACTTTGACCCCAGCTCGCAGTCACGGTGAGGGAGCGGCGCAGGGGACTTTGACCCCAGCTCCCAGTCACGGTGAGGGAGGGGGACTCTGACCCCAGCTCGCAGTCACGGTGAGGGAGCGGCGCAGGGGGGGGGGGGGGTTTCAGGGGTTCAGGGCTCCCGGACTTCAGAGGTCCTCGGCACCCCATATGGATGCTGGGTGACCATGATGGCCAGAGGGGGCGATGCTGGATAGCGGAGGACTGGAAGGGGTTCCCTGTGATTGCATACGCCGGGGGGGGGGGGGTATTTTGGTGATATGAGCTGGTTGATTTGCTTGTTGGTTTGTTGGTCACTTGCTGGTTTTTCGCTTAGCCGTTTCTCCTCCACCCGAACCACCGCTGCAGTCCGTGCCAGCAGCTACGGGGTGCTCCGAGCGGGTTAACCCCGCGTTACATCACCCGGCCGGTCACATGTCCCGCGTTACATCACCCCACGTGACGTAGCGCCGTCTCACCACCTCCTTCCACGCCCCACGCCCGGTGGAGGCTCCTCCAGCAAAGTTCCACCGACCCGAGGGCTCCGCTGGGTAGCCAGGCGCTTCCTGTTTGTCTTTCTCCGCAACCCTTTGGCCGGGTGCCCTGCGGTTTGGCCCCATAGCGATAGCTGTTGTTTTGTACGGATGGCAGTGAAAATATTGCGTCGATGTTGGTGGTAGATATTGTGTCGTTTTTATCCTGGCTTTGTGTTAGCTCTTAGCCTGCCTGTAGCCTGTTGTCGCGACTAAAAAACAGATAACCACCCCGCCTGTTTCGATAGATGACCGATGAATAGAGAGTTAGGTGATGCTTCGACGCTGATAGTGGGTGAACTAAAATAATCAAAACATCGACCTACGTCCCCCCCCCCCCCCCCCATCAGCGTCACCCGGACTGTTGGTGTTTAGGCGTACCATTCCCCTACATCTGAGTTCACGGCCAGTCTCCGCGCTGTTGTCCCCTCCCCACTGCCGCACGGTCCCCCGCCCCACTGACGCGGCCCGCACCCGCCGTCACCGCCGCCAGGTCGAGCCGGGCAGAGGCGTACGACGAGGATGAAGAGATGCACGGCGGCCCGGGCGTCCAGTGCGCCCACCAATAGCACCGCTCGGCTGCCGCCCGACTAGGAAGCGAGCCCGCGCCGCCGGCCGGCTCCGGCGTGAGGCCGCCCGCGCTAGTGGAGACGCTCAGGCGGCGTCAGCGGCGTCAGGTGACGTCTGGGTGATGTCAGGAACGTCAGGTGACGTTAGGAGATAATGAGTCGAGTGAGGCGCCGCCGGCTGATGGCTGTGCTGCCGTAGCGGCGCTGGGCGGGACGCGCCGACTGTGGTGCGTCGGGGACCGGTGACGGCTGCCGCGGCCCGACCGGCCCGACTGGAGCAGACAGGGTGGCGCCCCGGTGCTGGAGAGAGGGGTGTGAGAGGGAGAGAGTGGCGGCAGGTCGGGCCGTGCTGCCGGCAGCGCGAGCCGCTGAGAACCGCCCGGCTGGGACCGGACAGACGAGCAGCGGGCGGCGGCTGGCGGATCAGGAACGGAGAGGCTGGTCGAACGGAGACGGCGACTTCAGGGGACGCCCGGCGGTAATGCCGGGGTGCGCCGGGTACAGCTCTGGCCCGGTGGACAGTGCGGGGAGGAGGGAGGGGTGGCAGGCCCTCAGTGGAGACGGGCAGCGGGACGGACACGGCGCGGAACACCGCGCGCTGACGATATAAAGCACGCCAGTCGGGACTGCGCGTGGGCGGCGCGCGCTCCCATATTTGTGGGCGCGCGCCCGTGTATGTATGCGTGTGTGTCTGTGTGTGAGGGCGAGCCAGACTGAGCGTACGAGCGGGAGCGACCGGTCGGGGTCCATGTGTGACCTGACCGGGCGTGGGCGACCGTTGCGCCCGGCGAGACGTCGAGCCGAGTATATTCGTTTTCGTTCCATGTGCACATAAATTGGCGATGCTGCGCTCCAGGAGTGTTGTCCGTACCGTTCCCCCGGTCAGACTGCTGTGCGACTGCTGTGTCTGTGCTGCAGGTAACCCGCGCATTGACCCGGCACACTCACTGGGTCGCCCAGGCAGCACGATCATGTGTGCGACGCTGCCTGTTTTATAGGTTGCCGGTGACAAGTTTATGTAAGCACTTAGGTTGATTGTCCCGGCCTGACTATCACTGGTATGTTTGTCTTCATGCCACTTGACTGGTTCTGTATATGAAACTCCTTTCTCAATAAATCTAGCAGTGTTGATCTTGGAGGGTTAAGTGTGAATCTCCTCGAGTATAAGAGCATTGGGACTGGTCGGCTGATTCCGCTCTTTGCAGTAGATGCTAACAGGATCACAATTATCTCGCGCTGTAGAAATGTAACACCTCTTATTGGCGCGTAAAATTCGCCAGTGACGCCTTCCCAGATAGTTTGGAGCGGTGAATTCGTGAGGCTGACGTCACAGCGACTAGGTTTGACGCGAGCGATGGCTGCTGGCCAGCTACATCGACGTCAGTGGGTGCGGATCCGACGCGCCCTCGTCGGGCCGGGGTTCGTCACAGCTGTGATATTGACACATAGAAGGGAATGTCTCCCGTTCAGAGCCTGGTGGATTGTGGAGGGCTTAGCGGAGAAAAAGTGAAGTAGGTTAAAACGACTGGCATCAGTCAGAGTGCTTATCTGACTGCAGTAGACAGTTTGTGGTCAGGGTACAAAAAAAAAAGACCAGGACGGACCCGGTACTCCACAGAGGACCGCGGATCGGGGGCTACCTCGGGTGATGCAGACCGCGTATCACGGGCCCAGTTCCGGTCCGACTCCTGCGCCGTTCCGTCGGAATCACCCCGCGTCCGGTCGCAGTGGCGTATCAGTGACGACACCGGCGGGCGGCGACTGTGAGACAAAATCCGGCGCCACGTCACTGGGGGTGTATATTTAGCGCGCGATCGACACGTATAGCTGAGTCAGGCCGGCCCACGCTCCAAAACGTACAGCCGTCACTCGCGCGGGCCGCGCTCTTTGGTCTGGACACGGTACACTTTTCGGCAGGCTCAGCTGACGGCCGTGGTCAGCTGACTGCGCGTGCCGTCAGCTGATTACATATCACAGCAGGCCGGCGGGGCGGACCGGGGGCGGCCCCGCCCTGACCCCTCCGGGGCGCCCATAGGAACAGTGGACGGTGGTTGGCCGAGGAGCGGCCTCGGCAGAAACGTCCGGCGGCTTTTTGATATGAACAGCTCACACCACACTCCTATTTACATTGCACAGTTGGTAAGCGTTGGAACTCGTCCGCGTCGGTCCACGCATACGTCATCAAACATAACGCCCTTCACACACAGTGTGGATCACAGGATGGAGAACGGCCCAGTCCCGTCACCGGAGTCCCGGAGCTCGCTCCCCACGGGGGTTCGTCTCGGACCGGGTCTGTGGTCAGTCCAAACGGTCCAACACTGGCGTCACCATCCGTCCTCTGCCCAGCACAGCAGCACGGACTGGACCCTGAGCTCTCCACCCCTCACTGATGCCGCCGCGGGGTCCCTCAGCAGCACGGACTGTACCCTGAGCTCTCCACCCCTCACTGAGGCCGCCGCGCGGTCCCTCAGCTGAGACTGTACCCTGAGCTCCTCTCACTGACACCGGCTGGGGGCCGCCGCGCGGTCCCTCAGCAGAGACTGTACCCTGAGCTCTCCACCCCTCACTGACGCCGGCTGGGGGCCGCCGTGCGCTCCCTTCCCCTCACTGGCACCGACTGGGGACTGTCTGGCGGTCTCTCACCTCCCAGCAGCCCCGGCAACGGCTCAGCAGCACCGACACACCGCCGCCGGAGCTGCGGCCGGCCGGGGACCGACGCCGCCGCGGGCAGCTAGTCGGCCGCCAGGGGGTCCTCCAGCGGCTCCTGCGGTATGTCCTCCTCCTCCGCCTGGGTATCCTCCTCCCGGTCCTCTCCCGCCTCCTCGCCGACCTCGGCCGTCTCCGCGGCCAGGCTGTCCTCAGCGGCGGCGGCGGCGTCTTCGTCTCCCTCCACCTCCATTTTGACATCAGCACCGTCACCATCCTCAGCCACCCCTGCCGAGTCGCCGGCGTCGGCACCCCCTGCTGCATCCTCTACGGCCTCTTCTGTGGCATTCACTGCCACGTCGTCATCCTTGTCTGCATCAGTGTCCTCACTGGTCTCCTCGTCCTTCACCGCCACATCCTCGGCGTCTCCGCGCGCCGCCGCCTCCTGGTCCGGTGACGCCTCCTTCTCCTTACTCTCCAGCTTCACCCTCTTCTGGTCGGGCTCGTCCTCCGGCCGGTCCGCCGTCTCGCCGTTCTCGGCGCGTTTCTCGCTGACAAAGTCTCCGGTGAAGACGTCCACGAGCACGGGCGGCTCGCCGGGTGTCAGCTCCGGCTCCGGTCGCGTCTCGTCCCAGTCGGAGGCGGCGAACAACACGTCGTGCGTGGAGACGTCCACGTCCTCACAGGCGTCCTCCAGAATCTCCTGAGGAGGGAGCAGGTCAGTGTCAGAGGGCAGTTTATGGTCACAGAAAATCAAGTCTTAGTCGATCGGATAAGATTGAGGAGCATCAAGCAAACAATAAACAAAACGATAACGATTGAATTCGCGGAACGGTTATGTGGACGTTGGACGTTAAATTTTGAAGTTTTTTATCCCAACAAATTTTGAAAAGTTAATACGAAATAGTATGAAAGAAAACTTAAAAAAACAGCGCTATCACTCGGAACAATAACTTTCACACCATTCCATCCAGCTCTCAGGCAGTTTTGAAGCTCCGAGAGCACTCACGGCGTCCTCCTCCTGCACGTTGACCTCCTTCATGAACACCTCCAGCTTGACGAGCTCCGTGTACGACTCCACCTTGATGTACTTGCAGGGTCGGAAGTGGACCTTGTAGTGGTCGCGCATCAGGTGGCTCTGCTGTGCGGAGAAGTCGCAGTAGCCGCAGCTGATGGGCCCGCGCGGGCCGCCGTAGAACAGGTGACGCCACCGATGGTTCTCGGTCGTGTCGCGCCGTACGTTGGCGTACGGACACAGCTCACACCAGTGCACCTTGCGCGGCGGCTCAGAGTCCTCTGCAACGGGGCAGATCAGCGGTCAGGTGCGGTCCAATGGGAGCGAGTGCTTCCGACCGGGCAATACAATCCCAATGCGATTTTTTACGACAATGAATTGTCAACAAGAGGCAGAAAAGCATCGGATTGTAGGAAACCAGTTACCGTGAGAAACATGTGGGCTGGTGTTTCAAATCAGTCTCGCTAGCTTTCAGACTCGCCAGTCCTCACTGTAGCCCGAAGCCGTGCACCCTGTGCCCCGCGCTCGCCGTCAGCGCTATCCCCCTCCGTTTCCCTCCCCTCCCTGATCCACCACCGTTGTCCACTCACCCTTGAGGGCGTCTTGTTCCTCCCTGACGCGCTGCAGCACCAGCTGCTGCCTCTCAGCCGTGGTCAGCTCCGGCGCGCCCGTGAAGGCGGCCCCCCTGCCGCCGGCCGGCCGCGGTGACTCGTCCCCTGCTCCGCCAGGCCGCGGCGAGTTGGAGCCCGAGTCCTGGCCGGAGACGGTGGCGCTGGCCGCCTCGTCCATCGGCGGCGGCCGGATACCATGCCGCTTCATGTGGTTACAGAAGTTGGGGTAGTATTTCACAGAGTAGTCGCAGATGGAGCAGGTGTAGCGGTTCTGCACGCCGTGCAGGTTGATGTGCTTGATGTACTGCTCGCGCTTCTCGAAGGCGGACGGACAGCGGCGGCACTTGTAGCGTTTCTCGCGCTCCCGGCCGTACCGGTCAAGTACAGTCGGGTAGGCGAAGTCGGGGTTCCCGGCCCGTTCAGCGTAGTACGGGCTGGTGGGGTCCATGCTGGGCGGCGCGAAACGCATCACCTTGCGTGACGGAAGGTTATTCTCGTTCAGCTCGCCCAGGTGCTCCTTCTCGAAGTCCAGCTTGCGCTTCAGCAGGTCCACGCCGGACATGGGGAAGTCGTTGGCGGAGGCCCTGAAGCGACCCACGTCGGCGTCTGGCGAGGAGCGCCGGCTGCTGGTGTCGCCTGCCGGGATGGACGGGAGGTCAGTAAGACTGCCGGGTCAATGAAGTACGGTGGAGCAGTTAAAGAAACCGTTTGGTTTACGTTAATGACAGTCGTGTGATGCACGGTCAAAACTAATTGACAGACCACCCACAAAAGACAGAAGGTAGTCACAAACGTAGCAAACGTTAAGATTATGCCGTAAGACAAATAAAAGTATAGCTCTACCAATGATCCCATGTCGTTACGCGGCATTCATTTGGCGTGCTAACTTCGATGCTCATACCCGGATCCTCCCCAGACCGTGTCCTTTCCCCACCCAGCGGCTGTGCGTCAGCCCCGTGCCCCCACGTACCGGCCAGGTCGGACTCGGTGTGCAGGTTCAGATGTTGTACCAGGTTGCCGTACGTCTTCACGGCATAGTTGCAGCGGTCGCAGCGGAACGGCCCGTTACTGCCGTGCAGCGAGATGTGGTAGCGCAGCGTGGCCTCTTTCACAAACCGCGCCGGACACTGGCTGCACGTGAACCGTTTCACCTTCCACGCCGTTTTGGGTGTCGGCGAGGCCCGGGAGGGGGAGGACTCAGCCCCGGCGGTGGGAGTAGTCTCGGGCTCCGTCCCGGCGGCTGGCGCGGTGTCGGCACCGGCCGCCGGCTGGTACGGACTGGCCGAGGGCGCCGGGACGTCCGGCTGGCCGGCGGCCGCCATCACAGTCGCAGGGGAGGACGCTGTCCCCGGCGCCGGGGACGGGGTGGTCCTCTTGGGCGAGGGGGTCGCCTGTGATGCCGGCGGGGCGGGCGGCTGAGCCGGGGCGGCGCCGCGCGGCGGGTGGTCCGGGGAGCTGGTGTAGATGAGCAGCAGGGAGCGGGTCCGGTCACGGTACTCTTCCGAGTGCACCTTCAAGTGGGCCAGCAGGTGCGGGTGCTGGCGCGCCGTGTAGCTGCACTTCTGACACGTGAACGGCAGGTTCATACCGTGGAACCGAGAGTGGATCTTGATCTCGTTATCGTGGAAGAAGCGCGCTGGGCAGTGCTGGCAGAAGTAGAGGATCCGCTGCGAGTCGGTCGCGCTCGCCGTGTCCGCAGCCGCCGCCGCCGGGCCGCTGGAGGCGCTGGAGGTGGCCACCGGCGCCGGCAGCGACCTGTCCAGCACCACCTCCACGTCGCTGGCGGCGTCCTCGCCCAGGATCTCGCGCAGCTGCTCCTCGTCACTGCGCTTCATGTCGACCACGGCGTGGATCTTGCCCAGCCAGTAGGTGTGCACCTTGAGGTGGCCAGACAGCACGCCCGCGTTGATACACACGTAGTTGCACTTGGTGCAGCGGTGCGCGTACCCGGCCAGGTCACGATCCGTGTGCATCTTCTCGTGGTCCTGGATGTTGCTCTTACGCAGGTTGACGTGCGGACACTGGCGGCACTTGAACATCTTGAAGAACTTGCCGCCGCGGGAGACCCAGACGAGGGGCACCTCGTCCATGTGCCGAGTGTCGGCGTCCCTCAGCACGGGGCCGGCCACCGTGCTCCTCTCCGGCTTCAGCAGCGCCCGCTTGGGCTTGTCGCCGCTAGTGGCGCCTGGCCGCGGCTGCAGGCCGTGCAGCCGGGCGTGCGCGATCAGGTGGCTGCGCTGCTGCACCGAGTACGAGCAGGCCGGACAGCGGTACGGCATGCCGCGCGGTACGTGGTACTGCCGGTGGTACTGGAACTGGCTCTTCTGGTCCGTGGCGAACGGACACTGCGTGCACCGGAACGGCTTGTTGGCGCTCTGTGCCTCCGCTGGACCCGCCTGGATGAAATCGACCGGCTCGAACTGGCCAGAAAAGGGAGAGAGAAAATAGGGTCAGTGAAACACGACGTAACGGCTTACTATCCAAAACAAGGAGAAACGATACTGAGCGGAACAAAATACAGCACATCTGTTCGAACTATAACACGATAAGGCAAACGATTCAAACGGGGTCGGGGAAGAAAAACAAGGTGTTTAAGGAAAGAGTTTCACAACGAACTGAAATCAAATATATGAAAGATACACACGTAGAGATAGGTACAATGACCAATGACCAACAACATATCCAGTTTCTGTCTCTGATCTCGACACCGCGTCCGTTCGACGCGTATGGCCCCGTTAAACACACTAACGTTTGACCCTAGTGACCCTATTTGACCTGTCTGACCCAGCCGACATACCTGCTGGGCGGTGGGTGTCGACGGGGTGCATCCGGTCGAATTGGGACCCTTTTGCGTCACAAACTGCTGCGGTGACGTCACGCCGTGGAGTAGCATGTGGTCAGAGAGCGCCCTGTAGGGAGGCGGGCGTGGAAGGTCAGTTCAGGAGCTAGAACACTGTTTGTTGGAATTTTAAGGACGGAACAGATAATCATTAAGTCACTGACAGTCACTTAGTCATCTGTAATCCACATGTATGCGGTCATTTGGATGTACAATTAGGGCAACTAGCTTAGGCACAATCTTACATCTTGTACAAGTAGGACCGTTTACAAGTGACGTGACCCTCTGGCGTATCAACCGAGACATAACTAATTAGTACTCAGTCGTCGCAGTACGTACTTCTTGGTTGAGACGTAGAAGGGGCAGAGGATGCACTTGAATGTGGCGCCGGGCTGCGGCGTGTGGTGCTGCATGTGCGCCGAGATCGTCTCGTCGTTGTTGGCGCACGTGTAGGAGCAGATGTCGCAGCGGAACGAGGCGCCCGCCGAGCCTGCGAACACAGAGTCGCGGGATGTCAGTCAGTTAACCAGGGGAATTGTAGCCGAATGGCGGTTTCAAACAGCTACACTGGGCTTCGGTAACCGGTTTGTTCATGAGTATACATCTTCAGATACAGTCTACCATTTGGCTCACCCATAAGCCACTGATGGATAATAACGACAGTGACGGGAACCGGTGCCATAAATGTCTACAGAACCGAGCCCTACAGAGTAAAGCGTATGAGCTGTCATCCAGGTATTATTTTCCTTGCCGTTATCGAGCTGTTTGTCAAGTCCCGTACCGTTGCCTCCCTGTTTCCTGACCATGTTTCCCGTTTCGTTGCCCCCGTTTGTTGCATTGGTTTCCATAACGTTCCCTCCCTGTTTGTTAACTATGTTTCCCGTGCCGTTTCCTCCCTGTGTGTTGCCATGTTTCCCGCTCTGTTTCCTCCCTGTGTGTTGCCATTTCTTCCGTACCGTTCCCTCGCTGTTTGTTGCAATGTGTCCCGTACAGCTGCCTCCCTGCTTGTTGCCATGTTTCCCGTGCCATTTCCTCCCTGTTTAGTTGCCACGTTTCCCGTACCGTTTCCCCTGTGTGTTAGCCCGGTTTCCCGTACCGTTTCGTCCCTGTTATTAGCCGTTTTTCCCGTACCGTTGCCTCTCTGTTTATTGCCGTGTTTCCCGTGCCGTTTCCTCCCTGTTTATTGCCGCGTTTCCCGTACCGTTTCCTCCCTGTGTATTGCAGCGTTTCCGTACCGTTTCCTCCTTGTTTGTTGCCATGTATCCCGTACCGTTGCCTTCCTGTTATTAGCCGTGTTTCCCGCACCGTTTCCTCCCTGTTAGTTGCCACGTTTCCCGTACCGTTTCCTCCCTGTTTGTTGACCACGGAGATGGTGACGTCCGAGGAGGCCCGCTGTTTCTGCGTCTGCGCCTGCTGCTGACCTGGCCCGCCCTCCGTCTCCACCCTGTTCTCCACCACAGACACGTTGCCGTTGTGCTTCATACGACAATGGCGCTGCCGAACAGAAGGGAAACGGTCACCACACATACGGAAACGGGTTACCAAACTGACGGGAAGCGGGTAGGTGCTAAACAGATAGGACACGAAACGATTACAAAACAGACACGGGAAATGGTTACCAAACAAACGAGTGATGATTACCCTAGGGAAATGGTTACGTTAACGGGGGGAACGGTTAGTCAACACAGTAACGGAGGTCTCCACCACTAACAGACAGCACAGATAGAGGCTGCTACACTCGACGCAGCTGTCTGGCACGACACTGCTGTGCTTGATAAGACATGTTAGTTGTTACAACACAAGTAACGCGACATGTTACGTTACGATTGGGGGCACTGTCACATCACTGCTGAGCCAAAGACGACTTCATCTACAAAAATCGAAACTGAAGTAGAAATAGGAACAGCAGCCTAACAATAGCATGATAAAGAATAACTTGAACCGACATATATTTTGTCCGCTTGCGACATGTTGCGCATTTCAATCCACACATTTTTGGTGAGTTGATCCTGATCTACCGGTTCCTTCACCCGTTATACTACCTAGAAGAGCATGCTAGGATTCCAGTGCAGCAGAAGTCGTTCCTAACAGATGAGGATGTTAGACAAGGCGCTGATCCCACTTCCCAGGCAGAGTAACAAATAAATGGGACAGTGACAGGGACTGGTGGCACGGAATGGGACGGTACGGAGTGATAGGGCGGGAACTGGGCGGATAAAGTGAGTCGGAGCAAAGCGATCGGGTGGGCTCAGTAGGGTGGCGGATGACCTCCGAAAGGCACGCGCGCGAGGCACCCACCTGAAGGACATGCTTCCACTTGGATCCCTGGCCGCAGTGGCCACACATGTAGGGGGCATTGTGAGAGCGGTAGTGGGCGCGAACCACCTCCCTGTCGGCGTGCCTACCAAGAGGGGCAGAGGGGGAGCGGGAGAGAGTGAGACAGCAGCCGCCACCGGGTCAGAGCGGCGAGAGCCGAGAGGTGAGAGGTGAGAGCCGCGCGCAACCTGTGAGAACGGCCGGCCGGGGTGTGAGAGTCCGACTGTCCCTGTTCGAGAACTACAGAGGTTAGTACTAGAGGTACAGATGAAAGATCGGAACCGGCGTGCACACCTGAAAGAGACCATCAAGAGAAGCGGAATCAGTATTTAGTCGGAGCGAGCTGCCACCGTCAGTCGCGGCCGCCACCGCTGCCGGGAGAGGTCACCAGAGGTCACCGGAGGTCACGGGAGGTCACAGGGCCGCCGCGCCGAGGTCAGTTACCCGGATCACACTCTGCCAGTTGGACGGCTTGCCGCAGTGGCCGCAGTTGTATTTTTCGCGGTTGGTGTGCTTGGCCACGTGGGCCAGCATCATCCTCCGGTCCTTGTGTCTGAAAACACCCTCAGAATGTGAGGAATACGAGCTGCGCAGCGACATCATAAACACTTCTTCAGAGGGAAGTAACGGGTAGGAGACGGGCCCGACGAACACAAGCACAACAAAAACGGTCCCGTACCACGATCAGCTGTGCAGCAGCGCTTTATCTAACATATCCCCTACGCACGACTAATTTGCGCCTTGGGCAGCTCACCTCTGTTGGACTACTTCAAACGATGCATCTAAATGCAGATTACACTTGATGCATTGAAAAATATCAACACAGAGGTCGAGAGACGAGACAATGGAACGGTAGCGGCAGCGGCTTTGCCGCCCTGTCGTTTTAGTTTTAGTGTTACGTCTCCGACGACCCGCCTCCGACGACTGTCGTTATGGGCACGGCTGAGCTGCCGTTTCATTGTGTACCAGTAACGAACGTTTACCGACTGCAGGTATGAGCACTGGTCTGTAGTGTTCCACATAGGCTCATACATACGCTAATAAACCACCCATATAACACCCAACTAATATTCAAGTTAATACGTCCGCTACAGACTCTCCAACAGACATGTCCACGGCCCACCCGGGCCACCCGTATCCAACCCCTCCGGATGAATCGGTAGGTACTCACTTGAAGTTGCACTTTTTGCAGCGCCAGACGGTGGGTTTCTTGGCGCCGCCGGCGCCGCCCTGCCCCGAGCCCTGTCCGGCAGCGGCGTCCGGCGGCGGCTCCGGCATCACGATGGCCGTGTTCTCGTCCGTGATGCCCATGGCGGCCAGCGTCGGGTCCATCCGCTTCAGCGACTCCAGCGAGGGCGCCGGCGCCAGCGGCCGCACCACGCCCGGCACGCCGCTCACGGGCACGCCCGGCAGCCGCACCCCCGGCAGCAGCACGCCGCGCGCCGCGAACGGCAGGTCCAGCACCGGCTGCTTGAAGGCGGCCGCCGGACGGAACGGCGGCGGCGGCGCGCCGGGCCGCGCCGGGCCCAGCGGCGCGCGCGTCAGTCGCGGCGGCATCGGCATCCGGGCCAGCGGCGGGTTACCGATCAGCGGCGGCTCGTAGAGCGGCAGCGTGCTGCCGAACGGACTGCGCACCGTCACATTGGGCGGCACCGGCACCCCGGGCCGGAGCGGCAGCGGCGGCCGCGGCGACACGGACGGCGCAGACAGCGGCGACGAGCCCGGCTGCGGGCCCAGCGAGCCGGGGCTGCTGCGCTTCCGCACCGAGGAGCTGATCTGGGGCTTGCACTGGAGTCCCTCCTCCACCTGCATATACTCCAGGTAGATGTCGTACTTGTCGTAGTCGCGCGTGCTGCCGCCGTCGTTGATGAAGAGCTTGGCGCGCAGGTGGCTGCGGTCCTTGGCCGACTTGAGTTTGATGTGTTTGGTGATGTCCCAGCGCCAGTTGGAGCGGTAGCCGCACTCGGTACACTCGTACGGCTTCATGTTCATGTGGCCGACCAGGTGCACGTGGAACCGGGACGCCGTGGTGGCCCAGAACGTGCAGTTCGGACACTTGAACACGCGCCGGGTGACCAGCTTGGCCTCCCCGTCGCCCCGAGTTGGGGGACCGTGCGAGCGCGTCTGAGGCGAGCCGTTGTCGGCGTGAGACGCATCGCCACCCTCGTCATCGGCGGCCGCTTCGGCCACCGTCCTGCCCTCCCTGACTGCCGGCGCGCTGCCCTCCGACGGGGCGTCGCCGCTCCCGGAGGCAGAGTTCCACACAAACACCTGCTTCTGAGAGTCGGCCTCAGCGCCAGCGGTGGCAGCGGAGGCCGGGGCCTCCGGGCAGCTCTTCTGATGGGTGCGGAGGTCGTCGGTGGTCTTACACCGATGGCGGCAGTATTGACATCGGGTCGAGGTCGGTCGCGACGCCTGCCGCTCGCCGCTCGCCAGTTTCGGCTCGTCCGCCTTGGTCGTGTCACTGGCCCCAGCAGCCGCCATCTTCTGTGTGAAGAGCCGGTCGAGCACCGACTGCGGGCCGGCGCCGTCCGAGCGGGCCGACAGGAACTCCTCGGCGGCCCGCTCGGCGCGCTCGTTCATGGCCACGGCCTCGGGCGAGTCGCCGTCGGCAGGCGCGTCCTCGGCCGCCTCGGCCGCCCCCTCGCCGTCTTTGTCCTGCCGGCCCTGCAGCGGGATCAGGCTCGGCGGGGGCCGCTTCGGCTTCGGCTTCTCTGTCGAGGAGGAGCCGGTGGCGGACGAAGACCCGGAGGTGGCAGCAGCCGAGGAGGCGGGCGAGACGGCTGTGGACGAGGCAGTGGAGGCCACCGAAGTGGCAGTGGCGGCCCCGGTGCGGCCGGGCGCCGCCACCGGAGACGGTTTCTGCGGCGGGGTGAACACCGGAGGGATGATGCCGTTACGCACCACACCGTGCTGGGAGTACTCATGGCGCAGCAAGTCCTTCTCGTACAGCGTCTTGTAGCTGCACACCGAGCACTTGAGGTCCTTGATGTAGACGCGGCCGTTCCTCTCCACCACGTCGTCAGGGTGAACAAAGTCCTTGTCAAAGTCGTGACGCTCGGCGGAGTCGGCGTTCGAACGGCTGGCCGGCGCCGTCTTGCGTGCCGTCGGCTTCACCTTGGGCTTGGCAGGTTCCTTGGACCTGACCTCCTTCTCGGTCTCCTCGTCCTCGGAATCTTCCTCGCGCTCCAGTCGAAGGAGCTCCTCCTCGTCGACATCCAGCACCTCCTCGGAGCCGCTGTGGTCCATGGCGTCCGAGCCGCCGACGTTGCACTTGGCGCGCAGCTTCTCCAGCACCTGGCTGGCCGGCAGGTGGTGGTTCTGGATGTGCACCGTCAGACTCTGCTTGATGTGCGCCGAGAAGCTGCACTGGTTGCACTGGAACTCGCCGCTGCCAGTGTGATTCTTCATGTGCCGGTCCAGGTTCCACTTGTACGGTGTGCGAAACTCGCACAGCTCGCACTTGATCATCGGCATCGAGTGGTACTTGACGTGCTTCGTAAAACGCGATTTGATGTGCGTCATGTATTGGCACTTTGAGCAGCGGTAGAACTTCTTCTTTAGCTCGCTGCGCGATTTGGAGGAGCGGCTCGTTTGGGGTTCATCCCTGACGTCCTCCTCTTTCAGAATTTCCCCGTCCATGTCTCCGTAGTCCTTCAACGAGTACAAACTTTCCTCGACCTCCTCCTCTTCAATGCCCTCTTCATCCTCTTCTTCTCTGACGGGCGAAGGTTCGCTGACGATGGTCAAAGGACCTTTTTCCTGGGATTCCTCCATCTTCGCTGGCTTCGCGTCCTCGTGAACCATGCGCAGGTGACGGTTCAGTTTGAGTTTACACCTTGAGGCGTATATACAGTGAGGACACTCGTTGATTTGAAGGCGTATGCTGTGCACGTCCTTCTGATGATACAGAAATTCACGCGGGTTTCGCGTGGTAAAAGGACACTTCTTGCAGTAGTAGGTGCGTTTGAGCTTGCAGTCGGGCAGCTCCTTGTTCACTCCTTCACCTTCGTCCGAGTCAGGGGAGAGCTGCGCCTCGTCTAGCTCCTGCTGCTCCAGTGGATCCTGCTCCTTCTCAGTCTCCTGTGGCGCTATAGGCGGCTGTGCTCCGTCGTCCCCGGTGGCGCCGCGCTCCTGGCGGTGGCCCTGCTCGCTGGCGGCACCCACCTGCTCTGACCCGTCGGCTCTGTCGGCGTCGGCGGTCTCCCCAGCGCCATCGACCGGCGCGACGCTCTCACCCAGTCTGCCCTCGTTGGCGGCGGCCGAGTCGGCTGAGCTGGCGGCGGCGCCGGTGGCGCTCTCAGCCATGTCAGTCGCCTGTGAGCAAGACAGAGGCGGCGTCAGCCGAGGGTGCCGCGCCGCGGGCCGGCAGATACCGTTATCGGCCGGCTCTCCGGGTCCGCCGGCCGGCCGCCGCGCGACCGACGCCGATAACAGCCCGCCCGGCACCCAGCCGTTGCGACACACCGTCCAGCCACTTCTTGGGACAATCGGGCGTCCCAGAGGCCAGCTCACCAGTCGCTCGGTTGTAACAGGAGAGAGGCATTTCTACGAAATAACACTCAGCAGTCTCCCATACCGGGTACCCCCACTACTGAGCAGCGTCCGGTGAGCGCCAACACGACCACAGGACGTGCCCGTGTGAGCGTGCATGTGAGGGAATCGATGCACCCCTCCGCCGCCGCCACGGTCGCGCGTGTCAGACAGTGAGACCCAGTCGGGAATGGTGAGCGGTCATCGCCAAACGATGGACTACTTCGACACAGTCGCTTCTTTTATGAGATCCTTCTAAAAAAAAGGCATCTAAGGAACAAAGGGAAAACTCAAATACAAACAAGAAAGCTAATGCAGGCAGTTCCAAGCAGCGATTGTGCGTGAACACTGAACGGCGACATCCCATCGGCACCGCTATCGGGGAACAGGCGTCTGGCGCGCGCTCGGTCCGATCAGACCGGTCATCACGCGCCGTCTGCGGCCGCGGGCTGGCTGGCGGCCGCCGCCGGGGTCGATACAGCCGCTCAGGTGCTCCGCGGGCCACTCGAGCCGCCTCCGAGGACGGCCGCGCGACTGCCACAGCCGGCCGGGCGCCGCTCCGGCTCGGCACACCTGAGCCGCGCCGCGCCGCGCCGCAGCGGCCCCGGCCGAGCGTGACGACACAAACGGTCGGCCGGCCGCCAGCTGACAGCGGCACTCGTGGCCTCCGTCCGGACCTCAGCACTCAGCACTCAGCCCGCCGGCCGGACCTCGGCGCTCGGCACTCAGATCTGAGCAGAGCACTCCCAACGGGGCTCAGCGCTCAGCACTCAGCACGCCAGCCGGACCTCAGTACCCAGATCTACGCAGAGTACGCCGGACGGACCTCAGCACTCAGCACTCAGCATTCAGCATTCTGGTCGGACCTCAGCACTGAGCAGAACGCATCGGTCGGACTTCAGCACTCAGCAATCAGCGCTCAGAGGGACAGAGATGTGTCAGCGAGGGCAGGGTTCAACGGAAACATTCGGGGCCTGGCGGGGAATATCTCGATTTCAACAGAGTATGTTAGATCCTCAGGGGGAATATACGGAGCTTCAGCCTTTTAGCAATAAGTAAACCCATCAGCAGAGAAAGCCAAGAACTTGGCAGGAAAGCATCTGAGGAAACTCATGGCCTGGTAGGAACATAAAATACCACCCACCGGGGTTCTGTAAGTGGGATACGTTTGGAACCGAACTCTTGGCAGGAAAATCGGAATAATAAGACCGCGCCTGCAGGGACCAATTGTTAAAGAATGCCGGGGTCCCAGGGCAAAATGCCGCCACTGCCAGTACCTACTGGTATACCTCAACAGCAGAGATAATATCACATCACATGCCAGATCGGCTGCGAGCCTGGACCGTCGCGGCGGCTCACCGGTCCCGGTCACGGCGGCTCTCGGCCGTCCGGACGTCATTCCACGGTCCACGGATGCTGACGCACGCATGGACGGGCCGGGTAGAGGAGCGACCCCGGCTCGTTGGAGGCCGTATGGCGGCGGGCTGGCCGGGGCGCCGGCGAGGCTGAGCACTGACAGCAGCACGCTCGGCCAGCCGCCAGACCGCCCCGGGATAAACAGGACACAGTCTGACCAGTCGAGGGTCACCACTGACCAGAGCCGGCCTGGCGTGAGCGCCATGACTGCATGTCTTATTTAGGTGGAATATTGACTCGCCGTATTCGATAAGCTTTGTCATGTGACCGGTTCAGATCATTGCGCGGCTTAATGTCTAATGGGGTAAATATGTCTCGATGTTTAATATTCAGGCGTACTTTGCAGAGAAGACACAAGTAAAAAGATGAGAGTGAGTCACTAGTCAGGCCAGTTTGGGTCAGGTCAGGTCAGTAGTCTGCTCCCCATCCCACAACAGAGGGCTGCCGGTGAGCGGCCAGGAAAAGTCGGGTCGGTTGTCGGCCGGAGCCGGTCGCCGGGTTCGTCAGTCGTTCAGTCAGTCGTTCGGTCGGTCGGTCGGCTGGCCGGCCACTGGCGTCACTGGCGGTTGGTCGGTCGTGCAGGTGACCGATCCACTGACCGACCAGCTGCTCGGTCACGGTGGTCGATCACTGGTGGCGGACCAAGCGTCCAGCTGACGGTATACCCTTCCTGGAGGCGCCGGCCTCACTATACGAACGAAGGTCCAGCGCTGCCACTGACACCGATATCGCTGCTACCGTCCAGACAGTGTCATCGCTACCGGCACAGTGTCATCGCTACCGACAGTGTGTCATCGCTACCGGCACAGTGCCACCGCGTCTGCAAAACCATCGATCGCATTCGACGGTCTAAGAGCACGGAGCTGCACGATCACGGCGGCTCGACAGCCAGCCCGGGCGGATCGGCTCGGCGTCTCGGGACGGCCGCCACTCCCAGCGGTTGTGTGTCAGCACTTTCTCAGATAGGTATCCACACTACTCAGCTCAGAGCTGTCATAAAGGCCGTCCCATATCCAGCCAGACACCGGGGCATGGGTTCGCCCCTATTGGACCGGGACTGCAGGCAGCTGAAAATGAAGTCGATTCGGACACCGGTACCGATTGATTACTTGGAAATGATTAGGAGCTAGCAAGGCCGTATAGGAGCTAGGACTGAGAAGCCATCGCTGGCCGCTGCAAAAGGGTTTATGCAGAAAATGCACAGAAAACCTAAATTTATCAACTAATCTAATAATGCAATATCCCGTTCACGACAATAGTGCCTCCATATTGAAGCTCAATATAAAGCTATTTGTGCCAATAATATTCATATAAATATGGAATGAACAACAACTGCATCGAAGCACTTTCCCGTTTTTTTTTTTTTCGGGCCATTGAATCCAGACATGTTTAAAGGGACAGTATCACCATTTTGATGAAATTTGACATTGCATAGGCCCCACCTTTCTGGTCCGGGAACTGAAGACCGATCCTCGAAGCTCCACACCGTTATCCCGCTATCGCCGCTCAAAGTACGAAAGGTGTACCACACTTTGAATCGTGCTTCACTATCTTCACTGTTTAAATGTTTGCGCCGCTTTGAATTGACCGCCAGTAATAAAACTTTTACCCTGGTCATTTCATCAAATTTTATAAAGCCAAAACGTTTTTCGCACTTATTCATCACCGTTAAATTCATTAAATAGTCGTAGGCAATTTCCGCTGTTTCCTTCGGATTCTAGCGGCTCAACAAAGGAATTCCTCCAGCTTGAATCACAATCTCCCTCCAATGTATGACGTTTATCACGTGATTGTCACGTGATATTTTCTCCCATTGTCAATTGTCACGTCCAATTGTCACTCCCTCCAATTGTCACGTGATATTTTTATAGGCAATACCTAATGCTACCTCTCCCTAAGGACAACTCAATCAGAAGAACGACCGCGTAAGCGTAGCGTCAATAATGTATTATCTGCGCCAGTTCTGTAGTAATTTTGCATGCTTCCAAACTGGCGGCCATGCTTGTATAGTGGTGGTTCGCTCATGAAAATGAATCATGAAAATGAAATGTGGTTGCAATATTTTTCACCGAGTTCGGTCCTCAAACTATGTTTTTCTGATTCAGAAAAATAAGAAATGCTAGTAAATAAAAAATCAGCTCAATACATTGATTTTTTTTTCGATGATACTGTCCCTTTAACAATCGTCAATGTACCTTTTCAAAGCATTGAACCCGCATCGGTGGGCTCGAGAAGATCTGGCGTCTGTGGCGGTGATAGAGCTCAACTCTTCGTGCAGCGCAGAGGTTTTCGTTTCCCTCCTCGTAACCCTCGCAACCCTCCTCTTCGTAACCCTCGCAACCCTCCTTTCGTAACCCTTCGTTCGGGGAGTATGGCGAATGGAGCGCCTCAGCGGTCACCAGGTGTTTCCGCCGGCAGAGCTGTGGCGGCACTCCGCTGAGCCGCACACGCCGCGCGGTACCTCTCTTATGACGGTGGCGGCGGGCGCGGCTCCGTCAGGTGCGGTACGGCCGGCCACCGCTGGAGTGGCCCATCCGACCGGCGCTGCTGGCTCACTGTGGAGTGCGCCCGCCCGACAGCCGGCGCCGCCGCTGGCTGACGTCACGCCGCCGCAGCAGCGCGGAGACCGGATCGAGCGGCGCCGGAGTGCAGTCGGCGGACTCTGGCCCCGGCCCCGGCCGATACGGCAGCGCGCGTCCGAGCAGCGACGGCCGAGGAGGGGCGCCCGCCAGCCGAGGAGGGGCGCTCACCGCCAGCCGAGGGCGCTCACCGTCACTGTCTGGCCGTCTGACCGGCTGGCTGGCTGGCTGGCTGGCCGTCTGACCGGCTGGTTGGCTGGCCGTCTGACCGGCTGGCTGACCGTCTGACCGGCTGGCTGGCCGTCTGACCGACTGGCTGGCTGGCTGTCTGGCCGTCTGACCGGCTGGCTGGCTGGCTGACTGGCCGTCTGACCGGCTGGCTGGCTCTCGAGTCGGCTCGGTCGGCTCCCTGGCCGGTGATAGAGACGGCGGTTGTTGGCGCCGCCTGGCCGCCGACCGCCGTCGTGCCACGCCACGCCCAGTTGGCGACGCAGCCGAGACCGCGCCCGGATCCAAACTCTGCACTGAGATGGGCTGCGAGCCGCGGAGGTTCACCGTCTTCCCAGCTAAAATCCACCTCCTAAACCACCCGGATCAGATTCAAACCGCGCCAAGACAACAGGACCACGATGCTCCCATAAATTTTCAGTCAATCATCCGAAGGAGCCATGCCCTTGATTCGACCTCAACCTCACCATAATCACCCCTCACCTCCCCCGAGCCAAAGGACGGGGCTGGGGCGTCCCCTCACGCAGCGCCGCGCTCCATGGCGCCGCGCCGGGGCGACTC